CAACGAGGCAGTCAATGTTATAGCCTTTTTTCGATAATTGCACTATCTGACACAAAAATAATTATTTAAATCAATAGCTTCGAGATTAGCGCCTTCATACCAACAAACAGACAAATTCCTCATCTTTACAAAAAAAAAATAGTATTAGATATAAGTAAGTGGATTGAGTAATTTGGTGTTGTGTGTGTGTCCATTGGTTAAAATGACAAGCATTTTGATTGCCTTCCAATTTGATTCTAATGTGAAGTATAGTGTGGGTACCGAGCACTACCTATATGATAGTTGTTATGATACCTACATTAGTTTATTCTGGGTTATAGAAAGTATTGCCCATTAATCACTGTTGTACCTATAAATTTTTTTTTAGAAATGATTCCTTATTCCGTCAGCTATCTAAGTATACAAAATTTCGGGGATTGGCTATGTAGATAAAGCGTAAAGACACAACAAACAACCACACAAACTGACTTAGCTCAGAAGCAAATTTAAAAGCACACTTTAGAATTTGTTATGATAGTTGATATTAGTAAAAGAATAGTAATATACCTTGATAGCCACTAAGAAAACAGATTTCTTTAAACCAAATGATTCTGGTAATGCAGAAATTACATGAGGTAGTATCACCAACCCTACTTATGTCGTAGCTAAGGGAGTGTTCCCACTGGTTTGTGCCTCGATTATAAATGCTATTTTAACGCGGAAAAAAAGATTAATTAACTAATTGAGCCGTCGGACCGGCCCGTGTTCTCGTGTTCTTTTTTAAGCTTTTTTCATGCGACTAATTACGATGATTGCTGGATATGACGACGATGCCATGTATGAATGTTTTAAATCTTCTTTTAGCGTTCAAAGTTAAGTTGAAGTTGACGATTGTTTTTCTTTTCGTGGAAATATTCGCTTCATTTATTGTTGTAAGACTTGTCTGCCCTTGGGCATTACTGTAAATTTTGAAGCCGTTTTCTTGTTAATTTCAGAATTTTAAGAAATCTTCATAAAACTGATTAGTAATTATTTCTATACATTAATAAAAGTAATAGGGTACCTAAGTACCTTTGTTACGTCATCATAAAACAACTTCATCTCATCATACAATAGTAACGAAAATAGCTCAGCAAAGCTAACTCGACACAAATAGAACAGAGAGCTCAGCCTATCAAAAAAAAAACGAACATAATTAAAAAAATAATAAACACGTATCTCTGAGGGCATTGTAAATTACTGACTACGAAATACCCGCAACATGGTAAGAGACAATATGGCTCGAATGTTTAATTAGCGCATTGCAGGCTCCAAGGGGAGGGGGGACGAGGGAGGGGGTGAGGGTAAGGGGGTGCGGGAGGTGTTATTCATTAAAATGTTTGCGGAAACTCGTTTAGCGCCGCTGCGGGAGGACGCGCCACCCGCCCGCCTTCTGCTAGGGCTGGTGAGCGCGGTAATTAGGTCCTTTAAATTGTGCGTAGGTATAAAAAAGCAAATTGTTATATAAGTGAATTCTAATAATACCTACTATGTTCTCACCTAATCCATTGACTTTTATTATCCCCACATCAATTATTATCAGTGTAAAAGTAATTCATTGTTGTTTTTAAACCTACGTCCAAAAAGGGAGGTGTTTCCAATTTTTATATCTATGTGTGTCTGTAAGTCTGTCTGCAGCACTGCTTCTGAACAAACCACTCGATTTGAGTGTGGTATTTTCATCGAAAGCTTTTTACTTGGTCATATTTAATGAAAATCAGGTCAGCCGTTTACAATCATCATAGTTTATAAAGGAATTGATTAATTTAGTTACAGTTTTTTTTAATCACTGGCATAATCTATCATCAAGATAATTTTGAACTCGAGTGGGGGGGGTATATACTCGACGAGTTAATTTTGTTTTTATCGAGTATAATTTTGATTATATTACTTACACTGTTAGGGACTTAAAACATTTAAGATATTATTAGAGATTAGATTAGTGACAGCCCTACTAGTCCCGGGTGCGACGGGCGGGAACGTTCATTTACTCCTCGTAATCGTTGCTTCCGCTATCTACAACCCACTTAGTAAACTTAATTTACCTACAAACAGCTTACTTAACATTAATCTGTATATCTTAGTAATCCACACATAATTGAAGCGGTATTTTATATGTAGGGTTTGACACAGAGTGAAATAGTTGCAGTTTCGCACAATGTATAATTAAAGTGTAGGTTTTACTAACAAAAGAAATGTATCACTGAGGTTAGTTATTGCCAATGTGTATGGACAAACTATCAAATAAACAAGTAAGTAACACTAGGGTACTTTTTCTAGGAAATAAAGTTACGTCTGCCTACTTAAGCCCGCAGCCTTTGTATAGAAGAAGGATACAGATAATGTATGTAAAAAATCGAAGCAATTTTCATTGCTCATCATCATCACTCTTGCGGTTATTTGTTTTTTTTAAGAGATAAGGAAGGCCGCTAAACCAGTGTACGGATCACCTGATGGTAAGCAATCGGCGTCGCCCATGGATACCCGGAACACCAGAGGCGAAACAAGTAAGTTTTGGAGATTAGGAATTTGAGGATTGTTGGGGATTCAGGGATTAGGGACATTGAGGAGGGGGCGGGGTAATTAGACCTAATGATCTACTTAGACTTCACTAAAATACATATGTGAATCACCTTGGCTTTATTTAAATTGTATTCTGTTTATTCATAAAGTATGAGCATAAATAATTAGAATAATATTTACAAGTTAAAATTTACTACAACTAAACAAAAGAAAACTAAAAATAACTATGTAAATCTAGCATTTCAAATAACAATCATGTTGATATTGATACTGAGACCGTAGAGGCGTAGAACAACTATGGTAACCTCACTCACACGACGAAACACAACGCAAGCGTTGTTTCACGTTGGTTTTCTGTGAGGCCGTGGTATCGTATCACTCCGGTCGAGCCGGCCCATCTGTACCGAAGCATGACTCTCTCATACTTAAATATAAATTCAAATAAGTTCTTCTTAGGTTAGAGATATACCTAGTAAATGCTACGGGACACCAACAAAAAACCACAGCTACCTACAAATTCTACGACATAATCTTGCCAAAAAAGTGTAATGCTAGATAGGAATTATCATGGAATAGAAAAAATTTGGAAAAATTAAGAAATAAACAGAAATCTCACCATTTATATCCGGTGACGGTTCTGTGACTTGAGATAAGGTATTTATGTGCCTGAGAAATACGTCTTAAAACTGCTACCAACGGCTAAGAAATGGCCTGACAACTTGCATCAAAATTTTGGTGACCGACCTGGTAACCCAGTCCGTCTGGCAAGCTTGGGGATTTTGCAACCATCATTAGAAACTAGGCTTTACTACGTGCAGCAGTCGACATGTTCTGTAAGACGAAGATGAGTTTAATATCCAATTTAACTTTACACACTTGTCTTTATAACTACTAAATGGTCGATGTCCCACCTACAAACACGAAGCGCATTCACATCAAGGTTCCTTGTGCGTACGCCTATAGAGTGGAGTTCTTTGCCAGAGTCTGTGTTTCCTGAAGGGTAACTTGGGTGTCTTCAAGGACCCAGTGAATAGGTTGCTTATGGGCAGACGAGCTCCATCGTAGGCGACATCGCTTACCACCAGGCGAGATAGTGGTCAAATGTCTGCCCAACAAATATTAAAAAAAAACATTTTTTAAGTATTCACTCCTGTTTTCTATTCGTTTTTGGAAAGGGAGAGTCATAGTCTGCATTCTTCACCACAGTTATCTTTTAATGTTTTTCTCTTTGATGTAACGTTAACCCACCAAATGTATAAAATAAAATAAAACACCTATGGCTTAAGATCGTCCAACGTTTCCATCTAGGATTGTGAATAAAATTGGCCTGACCCATCTAACCTTCAGCCGTGACATCATTTGACTGCATGGCTGTACTGTGGCTGGTCAACCAGCTGCCGTGCAGCGTGTCGCAGTTTCGATTCTCACAAAGTACAACACTTTGTGCGATCCACAAATTGTTGTTTCACATGTGTATGTGAGTTTGTATGTTTGTCAGCGCACCCACGACGTAAGAGAAAATCCTAGGGTGGGACAACGATTTTTTTTAAATATTCACTTTTAATTCAGTAGTTGATTAAAATATTTTAAACATAACATTACATAACATTACGCCTTTTATTCCCGAAGGGGTAGGCAGAGGTGTACATTACGGCACAATGCCACTGTACAATGTAACACCCACTTTTCACTTTTTGTTATTAAAATATTTTTAATAACAAAAAGTTTTAATCTACATATCAAATCTTTAAATAGCCAAGTATTTATAGCAGTAATCAGCCAACTAATCAGCAGTTTAAAAAGCCTTCGTTCACTGTATTAAATATTTCATTAACAGCTCCGCGGCAAAGGTGATAGCACTTATACACCATTTATATTTACAGATATGCTATAACTTAATCTACACCTATTAAATACAACCCCCATTACGCTCTCCTATTGGTTGGAATTTTCAACCCCTGCGTCCATCCGCCAATCGCGGACGATCATTTTGTAGCGAGGGGGTGGAGTCAGGGTGGTTTTCATGACGAGATTTTCGCGAAATCAAACAGTAGTGCTCGAGAGATCTCGGATGAGACTTCTTTGACTCATCTCAAGTGTAGTGTGGACGGCTGAAGACGAGAAGTTTGAAACTTTATGTTTGTGCTAATATTTTATTTAAATTAGTCTTATAATTTTGTTTAAGTTATTATGGACAATATAAAGAACACTCGAGTCATAGCGAGCGATTAAACTAAAGGTATTTTTAAATAAAAAATGGGAAGGAGTGCCAACAATCAAGACTGCGTTTATACCCTTGAAATCGGGCAGATGGGCTTTGACACTGTAACATAAACTTTACATTAACTTGTGGAGAAAGAAAAACCATTTTAAATCACAGTGAAATTCTTAACTATAAATCATTTTAAGAAGAACACATTAGAAGACTTCAAGGACACAAGGAAGACTCCGAATCAAAGATGGCTGGTCCTTACCTATCTCCTTTACCAGGAGATTTGCTAACGGAATACATGTTTGGAAGACGTCGTCAGCGACGGAACCGCACGACGTTCACACCGCAGCAGCTCAGCGAACTGGAGTCCTTGTTCCAGAAGACGCATTACCCTGACGTGTTCTTGAGGGAGGAGGTGGCGCTCAGGATCAGCTTGTCTGAAGCTAGAGTTCAAGTAGGTGCCTGATAGCTTTAACCTTCAAAACAGGAAAATGTGTTATGCTTTTTAAAAGGCCGGCAATGTACTTTTGACTTTTTGGCAGCGTCCATGGACGGCTTATCATCAGGTAATCCGTTTGCTCCTTTGCCACGTCTCATAAAAAGAAATAGAAAAAAAGTGGAAAAAGTATGGCCGCTTTTAATCTGTATTTTGATTGAAATAAATTAATTTTTAATTTGTACTTTCTAAAATTATCTAGACACACCTGAAACACTAGACACACTAGAAACCTGGGCTTATAATTTCTAATTATAAGTTTGTAATGGCCAACCCGCATTGAGCAAGCGTGGTGATAAATGCTCAAACCTTCTCCGTTTAAGAAGAGGCTTTGCTCAGCAGTGGGCATTTATAGGCTGTTGATGATGAAATTGATTCTTCGGATAAAAGTTAAATTTAGTTAAGTTTACAAATACCTATGTAAAACTATTTTTATAATTTACGCATTCTACTTTTCCCAAATTGTAAATAGCACGGTGTTCAAAAATGACAGATTAAATTGATCATACGTGTGAACGCAAACTTGGGTAGCAATATATTAATATTAAATAATAATCAAATAAGATAAATAATCTAAAGGAGGCTGTATATTGTCACGGGCTATTGATAATAATAATAATGATCGCAGGGCCCAGTTGGTGAGTTAGCGTCTCCACCTGCCATTTTTACGTGTAATAATTAAATTGTTTTGGCCGGTAACATAGTCATCTATTCTACAATAACCGGGGACTATCTTTGGGTGCATTTCATAGCGCATGCACAAATAGTAGCCGGTTTGTGTGTCCATTAGATGTCCTCGTACGCCTCCAAAATGACCGGGACTCTATGGTCCCGTGAATGGGAAAAACTTCTTATTATCATTATTATGTGTAGTATATTTAATAATGATAATAATTATTGAAACGTTAAAAGCCATGGGGGTCATTGGTGACCGACGTTAACGGAGGATTCGGTTTGAACAATTTTCTATTGGCAGTCAAGTCAAAGGCTTACCTTGACTTCCAATTTGACTTCCAAAGTAAGCCTTTGACATACAATACAAAACTGTTCTTAAATTACCAATAGCGTAGCGGTTTCTTTTTAATGATTTTCAACACATTTTTATTATTTTTATAAATCATCGATAATGTCCGAACCCAAAACTAATAATAATAATTGGGAAAAAGGCTTGGTGGTCGGCAGATACATTTTGCTAAAGAGCTTAAGCGACTGGTAATAGAAACTTTAAACAAAATTTGTCTAGACATTGAACTTTTTAATTGTAGTTTTAACTTTTACACTTTCAGCTCAATTCTATACTTTAGTCTCTACTTTATATCCTAAACATATATACAATCGCGGAGAACCTAACGGGTTACCGGGGCTCCGGCTCGACGTGCAGGAGAAGGAACGGGGTGGTTTTTAGTCAGTAATTAGTCTGACACTCTCTCCCGCCTCACCTAGGCAGAAGCAGTCATTCGATGATTTTCCCCCCTTAAAAAAGAACATATATACAGGAGTTACTGTGGTTCAGAATTTGTGGTGGACCTCTCTTGATAAAAAATATATTATGTAGAATAAAGGAATCACTAATACTTCTTAATAGTTTGTGTGAGTTGTGTCTCTAGGCACTCTTTCCAACTTTTCCACTCCATTCTACGTTTTCCAAAATTTACAAATTGCGCGTCAAAAATTAACAACTCGATTTGATAGTCGACTGATTATAGGTCTCCTAGTTTCGTCTACATAAAGGGTCATAAATCTTTTTATCGTATACAGCGCCAAACGAGCAGACGGTTTGCCACACAGAACATATAACTTCTTTATATGTTCTGTGGTTTGCCAGATGGTAAGTAATCGGCGCCTAGCATACTACGGACACCTGCAACACTAGAGAAGTTACAAGTGCTTTTTAGAGATTAATATTGGGGATTTGGGGATAAGATCTGTGTTTAATAATTACATTGTTTTGGCAGGTGGCATAGTCATCCATAGTTCCCAATTTACCAGTCTACAGCAACCCATTCATAGCCCTATCTTTTTTTCCATTATCTACAATATGACTATCCTTTGGTGCATTTCCATAGTCCATATAGGGATAGTCGGTTTGTGTGTCCATTACACTTAGTTTAAAGTTGGCTGTGGTCCCGTAAATGGTATAGACAAATATTCACCTAAAATTAAAATTACTTTTAATCGATGACATTCATCAAAGTATTGATTAGTTTATTTGATTACTTACCTACTAACCTTTGCGGAGCGTAAGGGGGAACGCAATGGATTCCAAATTCAAAATGAACAAAGAACACAGCGGCAGGGGTTGCCGCTTTTTTGTTCTCACTTCAAAAAAGTTTTAAACATTCTCCGTTTTGGATTTTCATTCAAATTACTAGAAATATTGAAGTGAAATTAATATAATTATTACGAAGCGTGCGTTTTTATTTTTTTATCTATTCAATAACTGCCTCGTTGGCAGTGTGGTCGCAAGGGCGACTGCTGGGCAAGGGGTCTCGGGTTCAATTCCCGGGTCGGGCAAAGATATTATTGGGTTTTTAAAAAATTCTCAGTACTAAGTAGTTAGCTCTGGCACGTAGTCTGGAATTATGCCCGGTACATAGCAATAGGCTCACCCCCTTTTACATGGGACTCATAACATAAATAGTGAAAAGTGGGTGTTACATTGTACAAAGGCATAATGTGCACCTCTTGTCTACTCCTTCGAGGATAAAAGACGTGATGTTATGTTATGAACTTATGACTATTCAATAAAGTACTAAATAATATAGAATTAAAAGATCGGCAAGACCAGCGTGGAGTTTCTTTCTCCCTTCATTGAATTACATCAGGGGCCAATAGAAGTCCCTGAATTACATATCATGCATAACTGGTGCCTATTTCAGTGCAGACTTGTGACATGTAGTCTACTACTGTGTCTATTATTTCATATATACTTTATCTTTTGATTTGTGTGTAAAGAAGTACATTTTCGAGAATAGATTGGAGTTTATCGAATATTGAGTGAGTAGAATAAGAATATGCATCGTTCCATTTGAAACTATGACAAGAACGTATAATGAAAAGTTTTAACATACAAAGGAAGGCCTCATGTACTACGGTCTTTTATATAACTGTATGTCGTTTAGAAGATACGACTTTTGAGTTTTCAAACTTTACTAACGGACTGCGCAAACACGACGGTAAATCATTGTAATAGTTTCTCATGGATGTTCTTGTTTTTTTTTTTGGAATAATGTAAAAATGCTAAGCAATCGGCGCCGCCCATGGACACCTGAAACACCAGAAGTGTTTCAAGCCGGCCTTTTAGGAATTAGGGATGAGGCTGGATTGCGGGATTGGGGACATTGAGGAAGGGGATAAATTGGGCCTCCAGTAACCTCACTCATATGACAAAACACAACGCTATATCGGTGTCACTCCGGACGAGCCGGCCCACTCGTTTGAAGCATTGCTCTCCCACATTTAGATTTACTATGTATCCTCTTTTAGAATTTTAACTTTCTTAAATATAATATTGTATTATTACGTTATATTTCTTAGATAGCTTATTATTTTTTAGTCATACGAACCTGCCTATTATTAGAACTTTCGTCCATACGTCACTGCTAGGCTGTCAACTGTAAACCAACGTTGGGTACTTACCGCTTATTGACCTGGTGACCCATGCTGCGTATTGAAGTGTCTTTATTATAATTTATTCAAGGTATGGTTTCAAAACCGGCGTGCGAAGTGGCGTAAGCAGGCACGCCTGCAGCTGCTGCAAGATGCGTGGCGGATGAGGTGCCTCGGACTAGGATCGCCACCATTACCATTGTCAGGTGAAATAAGATAGTGAAAATTTAATAATAATGTTACAGGTTCAGTTTTGGATTCACTGATTGTGTTAGCTGTCTATTTTTTCGTTTATTTCGCCGTTAGCTGTGTACAAATTGCAGAAAGTGCAGTTTGTATATTTTCAGGTGAAATAAGATGACATTTTGAACATTTTTCACTTTTATTTAAATGGATTTTTTTTTTTTTTTAACTGGATCAGGTTAAGTTTTGGTTTCAACGATTCACGACGACGACGCGTGTCGACGTCGGCGTGTTATATTATTTGTCTATTTTTGTTTACATTCTGTATAATTACCTACGTAGCTGCATACGGATTTGAGTAAGTGGGGATTTACTGTCGAAAAAAATACATTTCTCTAAATACCCAGAACTTACATTTGCATTTCTCATACATTTTTGACACATTACATCTCATACATTGGGACATTTTGGACCAAGATATAATCATACACTATCCTTGATTGTGTTCGTATTATACGGCATAATTTCAACATATCCTTATTACAGGTCACGGTAAACCCGACTCTTCACCAGAAGCTTCAGAGTCACCCAACGACAAGGACTCTCCCGAGCCACCAGGAGCCAACGAGAACCGCGAATTGAAGTCACCTCGTCAGGACCCATATCTTCATAACACAAATATGGAACAGCTCCAAGCAGTCAACCCAAACGTTCACGAGCTTCCACCGATGCCATATAATGAAGACGGGAGGATGTTGCAGCAACCGTTTACCTTTCCTCCAATGATGATGCCACAGCCAATAGAACCAGAAGTCCCAACAGACTTGAGGGTGATGTCGAAGCCTAGCCCTTGTCCTTGTGGAACCTCCGTAGATCAACCACAGAACCTCGCGTATCGTCAACAAAGTCATGATAAGGACAGCGACAGTGACACGGATACAGAAATAGATCTTACATCTCACTCTAAAGATGATGATATACGGGAATCAGAAAGGCTGGCAAATAGAATTGCGACCAGCATCTTCCGAAGTGAAACAGTTCTAAATGAAATGATGCCTAATGATCTCAGTTTAGCTACTAAGAGTAATGATAGGGTTAGAAGTAACGTCTCAATCTAATTGGGCGGCCATTTTGATTTACGTTTTGAAATAGCAGAATGTAGTTTTGTTGTAAGAAGTATTTAAATATTTAAACTTGTGTTAGTAGAACCGAATACCCAAACTTTAGTATCCGAAGTTTAGTTTAATGCCAGAACATTAGATATGGAATTAGTTTTAGTTTTTAAAAGGTGATCTATTTTATATAATTGTGATTTTCGTTCTAGTCAATGGTTATACTAAGCTATAATTTCGTTTGTAGGCAATATTTAAATTAGAGCTCGTGTAAGTAGGTAATGTAAATGAACAATAATCAATACTAAGAAGATCATTAAGTTATGTATTCAAGACTCGATATGTGAAGTTGACATGTTTTGAAGTGAATTGCATAATTTTCGGGAGAATAAATATATTTAACTAGATATTTCAAAATGGTTCGAGGAAAAATATGCGCAACAAGCGCATTTTGATCATTGGGTCATTAAGAGCTCATCAAATTGCAAGAAATCTCCACTGAAAAGCTGAAAAGCCTCATCAACACACTAATTTTAAAACAGCTGTCAGTAGCGCTGAAAAAAAATCATGATGAAATAATAAACAGATTCTGTATACAGTAGGGTTTTTAATATAATATAAATTAAATTGTCATAGAACAAGTATAACTAAGTATTATGTAAATCTAATCATATGTATATTATCACAATAAATTCGGTATATTTCAGAATTTCTTGAACGTCTACATTTATTTATTTAATGAAATAAACACAAGTATTTAACAAATCCATTTGCAGTTATTCTTATCAATTGTGAATTTTATTCCGTTGATATAAGGAGGCATTTAGATGCAATATTTTTTTTGTAAACCCAACTTCAAGGCTGCGTTTTCCATTTGTCATATTGTTAAGGACGTAGAGTTCAAAATGGCTTGAATGAACTGTAAATATGTCTTAACCGAATAAACTATATGTGGAATAAATCGAAACGAACTAAATAAGGCGCTACTTATTGATAAAGAATCTTCTAGAAGATCAGTGACAATACATAACCAGAATTCGTAAACAACTTCTTACACAGCCCTTAAAACTTACATAATCATGATTAAAACAGGTTTCACTTATCACTAAGTTTAACCCTATTAACAGCGTTATGAGAAACCTTCATTTAACGACTTTTTCATTCAATTTGTTTAAAAAAGTTCAGTACAGGAAACAGGGGTCGATTGTGACACAGGTCGATTATTATGAAGGTAAGTTAACTTAATTGAAAATTGTTATACAAAATCTACAGATGTATAAATAAAACTCCAATAAATAAGTATCACCTTCACAACTAGCCCCTGTATCCTCTAACATAATAAAATATCTTATTAGAGGCGTTAGTACGAGTTCCTTTAAGTTTAAATTAATCGACAGGACACCACATTCGGCGCACAGTGTGCAAAGTACGAATAATTATCACATTCGTAACGTAATAGTATCGAGCGCGTTCGGCGCTCTGAGGCCTTGGTAGGAGTGTGTTTTACGTTAAAAGTAAACGAAACGAGTACGCGTTTGGCAATCTTATTGGCTGGTACATTGAAACCGGCCAATCAGAGCGCCGAACGTAAAACAAACTCGTACTAAGGTTTCAGATTGATTGGAGCTGGGCAGCCCAACGCGCTCGATACTGTTACGATACGAATGCGATAGATATTCGTGCTTGCCATTCTGATTGGCCGGCTCCAATGAACCAACCAATCAGAGCGTCGAACTCATACTCGTATCGATTTCTTTAAACATTAAACAAATTCGTACTATGCTATCAGGTTTAAAAAGCCTCAGTCGTGCAGTATACAAGAATTTCGATTGTTAGAAATCGCTGGTTTCTATTTTTAATATTTAAACGCTCAATACAATCGTTACCGGTAGATTTTCCTATCAAAACATCAAGTTAGTCAAGCGGCCCAATCTTTAAGATAAATATGGTAAGGTAATTTTCTCAAAAGAACTGCTTCAAAAAGTCAACACAGTTATATGACAATCTGTCTTTATTTTACTTAAGTAGTTTTAGGATTGTGTAATAAAATTGTGAGTTCTTGGTCTGAATCTAAATATAAGAAAATTCAATTTTGCGGTCTTTGATACACTTAACAGTAACATTTATTCTACATTTTTTTAAATTACATTCGTTAAATGTTGTATCTAGTAGATAATAATAAATGCAGATACATCAAAACGCCGAATTTGACATGTATTTATTTCTGAATATATTTTGTAAGGTAGGTAGGTATAATACGGGAGCTCCGGAGCAGGTATCTTTCAGAGGACCCGGTGCTCCTTACCGGTGCTCCTTACCGGTGCTGAAGGTGGCCACGGGCGTGGTTTCTCCCCAAAAAGCTGAGCGCCTTTTGAAGTTTCCCCCCAGTCATCAAATAAAGGGAGGTATTATAACCATCTATATAGCACCATTTTTTCACATTTATGGTTTATTATATGTCTTTTATAACATTATATATAAATAATAGAACACATATTGCTTTACATATTACCTTATATACCTATTTTCATTATATTTTGCTACCACCTATAATATATAAAGTTGTTTAAATCCATATAGGGGGACAATTTCATGAATAGGATAAGTCTATGCACAGTAACTTAACTCTTTCAGTCTTGGTGGTCACTGTAGCTAACCACCTTTTCTTAGAAATTCAATTTTTGAAGTATGCTTCAAATTACTTTTCATTGATTTTTAAGCATTTCAGTATAATTTAATAAAATATATTCGTAACCAGTTAAAAAGTGTGACTGAAAGAGTTAACAGGGTGGCATAAAACTTTTGTATTACCAGCATCGACTAATCACTACATAGTATAAAACAAAGTCGCTATCTGCCGTCTGTATGTTCCTATGTATGCTTAGATCTTTAAAACTACGCAACGTAATTTGATGCGGTTTTTTAATAGATACTTAGAGTGATTCTTGAGGAAGGTGTATATGTATAAAACATGCATATTGCACCCGTGCGAAGTTAGACGGGTCGCTAGTTTTTTATAGTTAAATTTTAAGTACACTTACATTTAAAAATAACAATATAATATTTACGTAATTTAGTGAGAGCCCTTGTTGCAATTATATTTGGATGAATGACTAAACTCAGCCTAGATACAGTTATAGGCTTCTCAATGTATAAGTTCTAAGTTTATAATAAAGTTCTTAAAAGACTTTCACTGTCTTAATTTATGAAGTTCTTAAAGAACTTTATAATTTATATTTTTAGTGATTAGGAATATATAACTTCAAGGGTTCTATTTGTTCACCGAGATCGATTTACTCTCCTTATCAAAGACATTAGTCACTTTTGCCATTCAAAAGGAAAATAATTCCCTCGTAACATAGGCTAAGTTAACTTAAGGTATTCTTCCATCACACAGAGACTATATGTATAAATTTGAATCATCTCAGAGGAGAATTGTGTCAAAGGTAAGGAAGTCCTTCAACATTTTGTGTAGCAGGATCAGGAGATCAGAAGCACCTGGAGTCGTGTTGTGAGCACCATGCAGGGGAGATGGCGTCTGCGCGCAGCCCGCGCTTGATGAGCCGAGAGCGCTGTCTCTGCATGCGCGCTTCCGCCGAAAACACATCTGACGTCGGATCCGACCACAATCGCTCCGCTACTGCAGCCGCGCGAGGCCACACGCGCGTGTCTGGACATAAAAATATTGTGTTAGGAAACCACAGCTTTATCATCATCATATTAAAACTAAAATAGCTTAACACGTTCGGCAATTTACGACTAGTTAACATCTCTCTGCTGTTACGTTGGACCCCATTTTATGAAAATCAAATTTAGTTAATGCTACGTCACACATCGCTTGTCTATAGGTAGACGTCACGGTAAAAACTACATAAAAAAACTTCACAGACTTCAAACTATATCGTCCCAAAAGTGTATTGATTAGGTACCCAATGATTACCTAAGTTAGGACAGTTGGGTTCGGTAATATATAGTAACTGTGTATAGGTATGAGTGTTCATAAAAGATTCAAAATTATCTTATCGGATATATCGTTATATACAAGACAGTCGATAAAAAATATCGTAGGTTCCTTTTTAACTTACATTTTTCTATTGAACATCTACCTACGTAATCTAAGTTTTTCTAGTTTAGACTAACAAACGCGATAAAAAAACTTTGTTTTACCAATTATTAATAATTATTGCGATGATCGATCGATTGTAACATTTTGACGTCTGATCTCTATCACAGACGGGCTGCTGTTTTATAATGTCTTACACAGATGATGTCATTCGTTCGTCCTACGCACTTTATACCATACGAAAAAAATTGAATTAGTCTTAAATATCTCAGCATTTAAGACTTCCAACAACGTTTAACACTTCATAGTCAATTATATGCCACCTATGCTGTTACCGACGGGTAACGCATCCATTCAAGTGTGGGAGAGCCATGCTTCGGCACGAATCGGCCGGCTTGACCGAAGTGATACCACAGCCTCACGTAAGACCGACGTGAAACTACGCTTGCGTTATGTTTCGTCGTGTGATTGAGGTTACCGGAGGCCCAATTACCCCCTCCCTAGTCTCCCCAATTCTCGAATCCTCCACAATCCTCAAATTTCCAAATCCCATAAGGCCGGTAACGCACTTGTAAAGCCGCAGTGTTTCAATAGTGCATGGGCGGCGCCGATTGCTTACCATCAGGTCATCTATCAGCTGGTTTACCTCATTTTTTTTGGTTGGTCTGCTTCAATAAATGAACTACTCAATTTACTGCAGTAGTGAAAAAAAAGTTCTTCAGCCTTATAATACTAAACAAGCATATATACTCTTAAACGTACCTAAGGCCTGCTCATCCAAATATTCGGTCCACATGGCGACCTCTCCTCCTAGCATATTGTCATCCGTGGGCAACATGTGGGCGTACATCTTCCTCCAATTACTATACTTGGTGATTCCCCAGAAACCATGGTCTAAGTACCAAATGTCCTTGGGCACTGAGACGGTTTGGTATCCCATCCCCAGCAGTTTGAGTAGCAATTGGCTACCTACTGGCTCCCATACTTCGACAATATACCTGTAACACATTATCAGACTCTAAAAATATATAACAATATTTATGTCGATGAAGCTGTGTGTACAACTTCACATGACAGAATATCACGACTTTCTTCCCCAAAGGGGTAGGCAGAGGTGCACATTATGGCACTTAATGCCACTGTACCATGTAACACCCGCTTTTCACAATTTTATGTCATGGATCCCATGTAATAGGGGGTGAGCCTATTGCCATATACCTGGCACAATTCCAGACTCCGTGCTACCACTGAGATTTTTTAAAAACCCAGTAATACTTTGCCCGACCCGGGAATCGAACCCGATACTCCTTGCCCGGCAGTCACACTTGCGACCACTCGGCCAACGAGGCAGTCAACTGTACAACTTCAATTTTTGTCAAACCCATTTCAGGCTACCTCGATGGTAGATTCCCTTAAAAGTTATTGTTTTCGTCCGACTTCCACGATGTTTCGTGAGTGTTCCCTATGAACTCATATTCACCCCAATCTGACATTTTTTTTGTGAATTTGAAAATCTATCAGATTAAATATAAATATTAATATTTCGCTACCATCATGCGTAAGAGATGCGCATCTATGCTTCGCCGGGTTCGCGACAGCCCCAACACCATTCTCGGAGCGTTGGCTGAAAGGTGGGACTCTCCGATCTTGGGGCGGTGGATACGACTGCATGCAGTCAAGTAGACATCCCCAGGTTCGGCGAGCCTCATGCTCGTATAATATATGTACTAACACTAGTTTATAAGTTCATACTATTACTAACAATAATGTAGCTACAACAATAGTTTATAAGTTTGCATTGTCTGTCGTATATGGAATTAATTCTGAAATAAATGTTTATTATTATTATTATTATTAAATATAGCATACCATTGATAAATTCTACACCTCCTATTTTAAATTCTAACTAAAGTACCTTTCTTTGTTCAGATGAGTGTTGATCCACTGCGGCTGTGTCAGGTCGGAAGACCAGATCATGACGGGCTGCTTCGGTGTTCCCGCTGCTTCCATCACCTCGTCCCAAGCAGCCAACGCCTTCTCATGGAACTCTGCCCATAATTTCATGAAACCATCCGATGTTGGATCATAGTTCTTCTTTCTCATGTAATTGATGATCTCTTCGGTCCGATTCCAGCATTCAATGTAAACCTTGTAAAATATAATGTTCGTTATCAATCGTCTTTCAACCTTTAACTATTAATATCAGTGTATCAAAGAGAGAGTTTGGAGCAACTTGACTTTATTTATTATCTCCATGTGGGTAAATCCTGACTTCGTCATCATCATAACATCACAGCTTTTATCCTCGAAGGAATAGGCAGATGTGCACATTACGGCACTTAGGTAATGCCACTGTACAATGTAACACCTACTTTTCACTACTTATGTTATGGGTTATATCAGGGGTGAGCCTATTGCCACATACTGGACACAATTCCAGACTCCGTGTTGCTACTGAGATTTTTTTTTAAAATTCAGTAACACTTTGCCCGACCTGGGAATCGAACCCGAGACCGCTGCAGTCGCACTTGCGACCACTCAGTCAACGAGGCAGTCCTAACTTCGGGAGTGAGTTAATTGACAATATCGGGAGGTTGTAGATGAATGAAGAACTCACCTCATCTCCTCCTACGTGAAGTAAGGCAGGTGCTGGTAAAGCATCAGCGATGTCCCGGTACAAGTCACCTAGCACGCGGTACACCTCAGGGTTGGCAGGATTCAACTGTCCACAGGGAGGCTCCACACATATCCCTCGCCACGGCCATTGGTTTACACAGACTGCGAGATGACCCAAACCATACTCCTGAAAGTGCGTCAAAACAATAGGGGGTAGTATACTAAATTTTATTTTAATGTCCGTCTGGTAGACTATCGGGTAGCGTCATGTTTTAGTATCTACATTTTATAGTACTCCTAAACTTAGCTCCATTTTATCTAAGTAAGTATTGTTTTCTTATACGACAAAATAAAAAAATATGCGTCTAATATATTTTCAATATCTAACTGACGGACTAATTACATTTTTAACTTACACACACTGTCTACCCTACCCTATTGTATTAAATCTATTTTACTGTAAACTCTTCCGTAATTCAGCGGTTCAATAAATGTTTAAAAGAACATGCAGCCAAATGTAAATATCTAAGCATGTTATCTTAGAGAACATAAAATTCTACTTCAGGTAGAAAGTAAAACCCGATGACAAAAAAAGGAATGAATAAAAAGCCAGTATTTCGTTTACAGTTTTCTAGTAGATATTATGTACTTACAGGTCCCCATTGCCAACCATTGCCAGCGTGTGCGGGTGAGTCAATTTCGATGACGACGCGAATGCCTCGTACTTGAGCATATTGGATCAGCTCCCGAATCTCTTCCGCAGAATAGATTTCCTCCGAAGAATAGGCTCCGTATCTGAAGTACGCATAATAAAAGCAAGTCAAAATCAAGACAAATAGGATGTATGTAACAAATGTTCCCCGCAACAAAATATACCTACTGCCACATTTACAACTAAAATCCTGTTTCGACGATAAAGAATAAGATACGACTATAAACGTTGGTTTATACATTTGGAAGTAATTGTATTATATAGTACCTACACAGCACAAGTCTGAAAAATTAAGAGTATCTTGAAAGGCTTACCTGGTAAACTGTGGTACTCTAGTAGACTCAAGAGGAAAACTATGTGAGTCGGTAACATGCCAGTGGAACACGTTCATTTTATTGGCTGCCATGCCATCCATGGTCCTCTTCAAATTTTCCATGGGTATGAAATGTCTACTGCTATCAATTAGGAGTCCTCTGTATTTGTATACTGGACGATCACGAACTTTAGCACCAGAGACGAGTAGGAGGCTGCAAGTTTGGTCGTCTGCGAAGTCTGGTTTGCTGGATGCTACTAATTGTGTGAACGTTTCCAGCGCATGGCGGGCTCCGTATACTGTTTCAGCAGTTATGCGCACTGATACCTGGCCCTCTGAAGGAAGAACATTGTTTGTTTTAATAAATAAACCTAATAATATCTCGACATGCTCAAATCTATAAGGAATTGTTACCATGAATAAAATTATAGAAAAAAGCCAACCTTTATTATTATACTGGACATCTAGCATGTATTCCTCATTGGTGTTCAGGGTTAAAGACTTGTCCTCACTCCTTACGGTCAGGTACACTATGACAGGCGTTTCAACAACCTCAGTCACGGTACCATCACATTCTGCCACCAGATTGGGGCCAACCAGCTTTGTCATATCCGCCATAAGAGATACAACTGGTGCGGGAACATTTTGCAAATCGAATCTGGAAAAATTAAAATAAATGATGAGCTTCAAGGGTTATAGCTACTTAATTATTGATGGTCAGAAATACTAGACCATTAGGTTCTCTTAAACAATAATCTCGAACCAGGTACCATCATTCATATGGTCTTAGGACATTCCGTTTTAATTAAGGAATGCTTCTTGTCTCTTCGTTCCTACTTTTAAACTAGCGGATTATCTAAAGGCGTTGATTTTAATTTCGATGGTTATTATTATGGTTGTAGGGTACTTATTATTTATTGTTTTTTAGGTTTTATTATTCATTACAGATTTTTGAAAACGCTGTGTATAGTCTGTTGGTTGGCTCATTAAAAGATAATAATGGGTACCTAAAGTTGCACACGAATCAGTCCTATTGGTACGATTTGCGAGGAGAATTGATTTATTTTGCCAAAAGGAAATAGTTCAATTGCTATATCATTTCCGATGATTGGCGTTGTCGTTTGTTGATTGCAAGTAGGTACCACTGTACCCCACTGTAACTATTGTTTTTTTAGCTATGTTTTTCAAAGCTTCAACCACCAACTGATGTGAATTTTAAAATTCAATAACCGTCTTTCTGTGTACAGCTACTTCATTTACAACGACATCATCAACATAGCAAGATAAGACCAATATTAGTTTTGATAAAAATAATAAAACTTTATGTAGGTACTAACGTTAATACCAGCTCATCTATCAACCACACGTCTTCAATGCATTTTCGACTTTGTCACAAAACAAAAAAGTTTATGATCTATTCAGCAAAAAGTTTAGAAATGAGTAGCTTGATCTGCTGCTGTTTACTCAGCAAACATTTCGTTCATGGTTGTCAAATTTGACGCGACGTGTAAGGTCGTAGGTCAAGTAACCGTTATAGTAAGAGATAGGTTGTTCAACCCTATTGGAGCCCAGCCGTTCAACTTTAGTTAGCATTGTGGTGCTAAACAACGTCACATGGAGACTGTAAGAGTATGTAGCTTCCTAAGTATGTTATAAAATATTATGTGCTGATTTGTAGAAATCAGCATTATTCTTCATTATTTTACTACTATGGTCCATTGTTTGTCTAATATCTTTGGCATTAGTCCAGGTAGGCTGACGTTGTATACCCCATATGAAAGCTTAAGAAATGTAGATTTTTTCTTTTGTACAAAGTGCACAACATGCGTAATTTTTTATGCTACAGAAGCACATTTTCTGAGACCAACTTGTAAAAAAATCTAATATTCTATGAATATGGGATCACTGTGTCTAAAACAATATTATTTTTGTGTATTTGATGATTAGAAGTAGTAAATTAACCAAAAAAGTAAAATAATTAAAAGTAGAAAATTAGGTCAAGCTTCTTTTTTGTTGTTTTTTTTTTCATTTTTAGAGTTACCGCGGACGTCATTTTGAAATTACTTAACACTAAAAGTAAAATATTTTAATAACCGTCCATTTCTCCCTATTTGTTCGACAAAATTGTTGAACGATCAAAGTCAAAGTCAAAATGATCAAAGTCAAAGCATTTATTTCAATTAAACCATAGTTTTGTACTTTTGAAACGTCAACAAATACAAAATAATTAATAGTCTGTCAGTCAGTCCGTCAGTGAAATTAGGTGAAGCTTGGTGCTCATTCCACAATCATCATTTTTACTACCCCTACTAAACTATAATAGATTATGGTCAAATTACAAATCACCCTATATACTTAGGGAATAGGTATAGTTATGGCATGAAGATATTATTAAAACAAAGTTTATTAAAACAATATTTGTTTGTAACGACTTCAAATAAAAATTAAATGGACATTCTCAATTTGACTGTGTTTTGTTAAGTATTTGTTCACTTAAACCCGTTACCTTTTCCTTAACGATGTAGGTATTAGTATTATTTAATCACATAAATGCAAAACAAATATTAGCTAAAGTCATTAAAGAGTACAAGTTCATTGACCCCTAGTCAGTGACCCTGAATTCACTTATTATAACACCAAATGACATTATTATGCAGGTATGTATAATAATAATGTATGTCATACATTTTACCAAGTCGACTTCTAAAGAGATTTTATGCATATAACCTGATTACAATCGTCTTCCTTGATTAAATTTGAATAATCTGATTAAATAATAATGAATACTTAAGTTCTGTTGATTCATTATTAATAGAAACAATTTTAATTTCAAAAAAAAATCTAATAGTAAGGAAAGAAATAGCAAACAGTGAATGATAATTTATTTTATTTTCAACGACCTGAATGAGGCAATGAGCCATTCAATTAAATAGCTAGGCATTAATAAATCGTTTAGGCGTCACTAGTTTAAAGGGATAATTAAGCTTAGACCTAATTATATGCAAATTCATACATACATAACTTCATGCTTGTCTCCCATGGGGGTAGGCAGAGACTACGGAACGCCAATAATGACTAATTTTTATTTTAATGTACATCTGATAGATTTTTTTTTAAACATTACACTCGTATTTTTTATTATTTTACAAAAACGAATACTTTCAACGATATATTGATTTGAAATGTCGCGTGACGTCACTTATATGTACCTACATTTTATACGTAGAAATGACGTTTTAGCCCCACTCCTAAACTTTTATCCGATATATTTTAAGTATCATTTTATTATACAACAAAATAAAAAAATACGTGTCTAATATGTTTTCATTACCTAACTGACGGACTAATTGGATTTTTAATTTTCATACCCTGTCATCGTCCCTATTACTACGATTCCTACATACCTGCAAATACACTGTATATACAATTATATAGTTTTAATAAGAATGGATAGGTACTATATTATAATCCGGTTACGACATAATATATTTGGGATGTGTATACAATAATACATTGATATAGTGTAAATAGGAAGGGTTAACGAAAATAAATCGTTTCATCTGCTGGGTGCCATCCAAGTGTTTGACAGAGTGCGTGCTATAAATAACAGGGAACCACTTCTAGACACTATTTACACAACGAAGCTAAATAAAATGTAGCTTGAATGGCTAAATAAATGTTTTATATGTGTATAATAAAGTTGTATCCTGTTTCCGTTTGTTCAGAAGTCGTTAGTGCAACTGTTGAGTTGGTTGTTTTAGCTCGATATTCGGACAAGCATCAATGCGTTACTGGAATATTTGAACTATGTTTTTATCATCTATCTAACTAAAAGGTGCATGATTCTGCTGCAAGACTTACTTATAGAAATAATTAAAACACTAAAAATGTTGATGTATAGTTCTTCTATATGTTTAGTTCTTAACAGATCTTTAGCTGTATGTGGATAGGGAACAGTTAACTTCCCGTTACTGAGTACTAAAGTGTTGAGCAAATATTTCTCATGTTACTAGTGGTATAACTACAGGGTAGCAAGTCAGCAAAATGCCAGGGGCCCCCAGCTGGAAGGTGCCCGTTCAGAGGTTTGTATATGAACTTCTCTGTTTCCTATTGGGAATGATAGCCCATCAGATGAGTTTGCCACGGGCCCCAAACTGTAGATATAGTTACGCCACTGCATATTACCACCACTTACACCTAGCATTTGATCATTGAATAATCTAGTCCGATTGCCTACAACCTGTTAAAACTTTCTGTAGTATATTTGATCATTATATAGTCCGGTGTCCAGTCAAATAGCCAACTAGTTCCAATCCAGAATTCGTCCAATTCACGACCTAGGTACTCAGGTGGCTATTAAATAGCCGTATTGTCCAGTTTATGCTTGAAGTGGTAATGCAGCAATAGTCTATAGACCATTTCAGTAAGTAGTAAATGTTCCTAGATGTGTTCCTACCCACGTGTAGTTATTTCATTTAACCTATATCGCTCTCAATAATCTCTGCTGTTCAGTTATCTAATGTAGAAGGATAATATGAATCCTACTCATGGTCTATTTGTGAGATAAGTTTTATTTAATCCGTTTTGAAGTTTTAGCGCCATTGATGAATTGAGAGCTAAAAGAACACTTCAAAAGTAAATAAGTACTAACCGATTTACATTTTAACCTGTTTATGCTATTTATAAAGTATTTATAAAGTAAAATATATTATTTATAAAGTTATTTATGCTCAACATTAGATACGATATCCATCTTTAACTAGACAAATAATATTGCAAAACCAACATTGTGCAAACCTTTTTAAAGTGTATATTGACATGAGAAAATGAATAAAAATCGAAATCAGTAGGGAATACACATCGTTTTACCGTTTACTGTTTTTTACAATAACTGACAAGGTTTAACCACAATACATCGTAGACCGTAGAGACATAGTTTATTGCAGTTCACCTTTACTAAAAAGCGATTTCTCATCTATAGTGTCCACATACAAATGCATTGTAGATAAATAAGTACATACATAATGTAAAAAACGATAATATGTACAGTACGGCAAGACCTCTAAAAATGTATATAAAAACCATCAATGCTGCATCACAATAGGAGATGAAGTTCCCACGAATGTATACATCAACAATTGTACATAATCACATAATGACAACAAATATAATTATAGTTCCACAAGATATATGAAGGTTATTTGTACTTGTTACTGTGTTATTGTCATTGTATCGACATTCTTTGGTATTGGTTTTTTTATGTTTATGTAGCTGCTGACGAGTGGGGTCGCTAGCATTGTCGGGATAAAAAGAAATATGTAGTTACAGGGTGTAACCGGAACAGTCCCGAAAAACGGCGACAGGTGATGGTCAAAAAGTAAAAAATAAGTTTTATTTTCAGAAAAGCAAATTCTTTTATGTAATAATAGTTGTAATCAACTGCTCAATGCTGGATAAAGTAATTTTGTAAAAATAATTTCTTTTTTTAGCGGGAGAGTTCCGTTTGTTACACAGTGATTCCGGACTATAATTATGTTTTTTTTGAGGGGGTAAAATCATCCAATGACTTCTCCCACCTGGGTCAGGGCGAGAGGGAGTGTCAGACTCTTACTGACTAAAAACCACCCCGTTCCTACTCGTGCAATTCGAGCCGGAGCC